AAAAAAAAAAAAAAAAGATAGAAGAAGATAATTTTTGCGTGAAAAAAAGTGGTGATTGTAATTTTTTGTAATTATTTATAAACTCACGTAAAAAATATCTGCCAAAATATGAGTTTCTGGCTGTCTTTTTTTTTTGTAAAACAGTGAAAAATGAAGGATTGAAATATCACATCTACACTTACAGCTTGATTTCGACACCAGCACAGACGACAGTACTGTGCGGCAAAAGAACTGGTCATCGTTGGTATCAGTTTTGATACGGCATATCATCGATTTTATCAAGTGTATCAGCATTTACCAATCGGTAACCGCAATAATAATGGCATATTACTTTTTTTTTTTAAGAAGAAACTTTTCTAATGAATAAAGCAATCTTAAGTAAGCGATGATTTTGTTGACATAAAGTGTCTGACTAAAATGTCACTAATTTTTGTTTTTTACTGCACTTTTTCTTTTTAACTTTCTTTCTTTTGATAGGTGTCCTTTTTACCTTCTTATTATAGCTTACTGACAAAGAACGTTGTGCTTTAATGGATAATACCGGTTGGTTGGAAGTGACGCTTCTACGTTTCATCCATCAGTATGATCCCACAGAGTCGTGTTTGATTCTGTACGATAAACGAAGCTTTCCAAAATCGGATACAAAAACTAACAACGATTATACGGAAGCCATGATGGAACTTCTGGCGCAAGCTAAATCATTCAGCACATTACAATTGAACAATCGACAACTGGCTTTGCTATCAGCATTGTTTATCTATGATCATGCTGAAGCATGTCAAGTAAGTGATCTGCTTGAAAACCTGTACTGTAATTGAATTCTGCTTTTGTGGTTTATGCGAGCAATCTGAGCAATTGTCAAATTTGGTAGTTCTCAGTTCAGAAATTTTAATGCGGTACCGTAGCAGAATTTTTTGTTTTATAGAATAGAACTGTAGATATTGTACATGACGAACTATGGCATTGTCTGCAGTCAATCAGCGAATCTAGCAGTGATTCACCGGATCCAAATCGTTGGTGGCGTCTGTTGGTTAAAATTTCACAATTTCGTGTCGTAGTTAGCCGACTTAAATCATTTTTTTACAATCCAAAAAATTTTCTTTTATTACGAGATACATTAATTTTTTAGGAAATTTCAGTTTTGGTATTTAATTTTGATTGCTGATGTCAGGTAGGTAATTATACATTTTTTCTTGAAATTTGACAATGAAATTGCTGCAAAACTTTTATTCATTTAAGTAATTAATCTTTAAGTAAACAGTAATTTAGAAATTTTTCACACAAAATTTTTCTTTTAATATTGGCTAGTATATGTTTGATAACTTTAAATTTACCCTTTTTTTCTTCTTTTTTTTTTTCTGCAACTTTAAATTCTGGGAAATGACTTTTACTTTTATTTATTCAATTAAATTTGGTCGTCATGACAAAAAAAATTTCATTTCCAACTTTCAAGTTTTTCATCTCTGTTCAGCAGTTAATATTAGGCATTCTATGTTCAATGTAGGAAAATTTTCTTAAGAATAATGTTCATTTCGTTCTTTAACAGAACGTCCTTAACTAAGCAGTTTTAATTTCTTCTAACGTAATTAGTATTGACTGACTTTAAACTATTTTAAGTTCAAATAATTTTTCCTTGTCACTTTTGAAATTTACGGCATCTAAATCTAATATTAGGAGCAAAAAGGTACTTCACTTATCTGCAGTTTACATGATCTATTTTTTAGCCAATTTTACTATGTCAGAACCGAACAAACTATCTAAGTTTTTATCAACTAAAAGTTGGATTCAACTTCTTTTTTTTCTTATATTTTCATTAAATTTTTTTGGGTACATTTAGCAGTTTTTAAACGGTAACTTTTTTTCTGCCTACTTTATTCTGATTTTTTTCGTTTCTCTATTTCGTTTCTTTATTTTTTTTTCCTTTTTTTGAAAATCAGATGAAAAAAACTATCAGATTACAAACTGTACTAAACAGATCACAGTTTTGGTCGGCTAAAAAAAAAAAAACTTGCAAATTATTACGAACGATTAAGGAATATTACAGCACTGCGTTTTGTGCTTATTAATTTGACATATCACAGAGCTTAAAACAGAAAGACTAAAAGAAAAAAATTTATGCAAAACTGTGCCAATAATTAAAGTAATTTTTTAGCAAAAAAAAACCTAAATTGTGTTTCTTGTCTAACTTTATTATGGTTTTTTTTTCCAAAGTTTATAAATGCAAAACAACACGTGACACAAAAAATTAGTTTCAACAATAAACTTAAGAAGGTAAGTTTTTGGGAAAAAGTGTAAGCTAATAAAATTAAGTATATTAATCTGCATAAACTGTTCGATTAGTAGTTTGAATAAATAATTGAATAATACAACTATAACAACTATTAATTGTTTAATTTTTTTTCTATTTGGAGTTTTGAATAACCATGCTAAATTGAGACTAAATTTTCTTTTTCTTTCTTCTCCAAAAAATTTTCAGTACTGAACAGAAACAAATTGGTTTTTAATTACTAGAAAATTTTCTTAATTTGAATACTGTTTGTAGCAACAAAAAAAAAATTTTTTTTTTTTGCTTGTATAATTGACATTTGAAGCTCGACAAAAAAAAAGAGAATTAAGCAGTTAGGTAGCTAAACTTATTTTGCATTAACTACTTTCTTGACTTCTTTTTCGTTTTTTTTTTTCTCATCTAA